GGAGGAAGCATAAAATTATTGTCGCGGATCATAATGAAATCGGGTTAAAATGAAATTTGAGGTTTCTATTTAGCGTCTTAAACCCACTTATACTTGTTCATTATAAAGTCTATCCCCAAAGCTGATCTCTAACACTAAAAAAGCTAAAAAATTGCACTCCAAAATTTGTATTTTTCGGTGACTTGTCTATTTTACTTTATACAAAATTTCATTTTAATCTGATATCGTTTTAATCTGCCACAATTATTACATTTTTAGTGATATAGTTATTTCGAATTAAGCAGTGACACAAATCACGGAGTGTCCTGCATTGTACCGTTTAATAAACGGCTGGTTAATGGATATGGATATGGATAAGCACATGGGCCATCGAATGATCCAGATTAAAGCAGTAATGTACTGTACTAATCTGTATTAACCCTAAAAATTGACCCAAATTATTTTTAATCGGTAAAAATCAAAAACGACATCCGCTAATTAACAGTTGACAGAATTTAAAAATGGCACGTTGGTCTGTCAACTAAATAAATCCAATTATGTGGTCACTAATACCGTATTTTGCATAAGGATTGGAACCGGTTAACCGTTTAAAAATTGGCCCATAGTTCCGATCGGAATTATGGTGGTCATGAGCTGGAATTATTTTAATGCCGGCCAAATTAAACGGTTAAACGATTAAACGATTAAGAAAAATTTTAGGCGTGCAGATCATTTCCGAAATCTAATAAAATTTAAATATTGGCGAAGATATCTCGACAACTACCTGACCAAATTCAAATAAATTTTTTTATTTGAATCCTACGAATCTGTAGAATTCAAATAAAAAAAATTTCTTTGAATTTGATCAGGTGGTCACAAGATATCCTCGCTTATATTTGGAAAAAATTTCAAAACGTCTATCAAATAGAAGCTGTGCTAAATTGTTTTTAAACTTTGAGAGAAGATATCTCAACAACCACTTAACCAAATTTGATGAATTTTGTTTATTTGAATTCTACAAATTCGTTAAATTCAAAAAAAAAAAAAAATTCATAGAATTTGGTCAGTTTTTTGACAATCGAATTTCAGGATCAAGTGTGACGTAAAATCGAAACGAACCACTTTTTTTTTACAAAAAATACAATAACTCTAAATTTTAATTAAAAAAACCGCCTTCTGCGGCCTAATTAAAAATGTTTCTCGTGATGTTTTGCTAATAAGCGCTACATTTGTTCTAATCCTATAACACAGTTTCTTGGTTTTCATTTTATACGTAACTTTTTTACTTAGAAAACAAAACACGTTTGTTTTGACACCTGATCTTAAATTTTGATTGGTCAAAATTACTGAGGATGAACAATTTACCAAAATTCGTATTTCTTAATATTATATTAAGGTTATGTTAGATTTAGGTCGTTATATATAAGCAAAATTGCCTTCCTGAGGTAGGTTTAGATTGCCGTTTTTTTGTAGTTTTTAGGTTTTTTCGTTTTTGTTCTTCGCCGACGATCATCAAAATTCTATAATTTGATTGGTCGTGATCACGTGAACTTGCCCACGTTCTTTTTTAGGTTGAATTTTTTAGTAGTAAGTTTTACGCCGATTGACTCATTTCTATTCTAATAACAAAGTTACAGAATCGTTTTTATATTAAATAATAGTAAAAATTACCTTTTAATTTACTTTATATTGAATTTGTTGCTTGGATAATAAACCGCCGGTAAAAATTTTTTAAAATTTAGTTCTGTAACTTGCATGGTAAAGACATTTTATCGATTCATTCAAATTTGACCTTATAATTTTTAGTCGTAAAAACCCTGCATCTAAATATAGTTGATCCTTTATAAGTGCACCCTCTATTAATAGATTTTACCTCCAGAAGTACTTTCATGTGATTATTACAATAAAATAATTTATTAAAGTTTAGACTCAGACCTCCATAAGTGCACATTTCCCCAATAACATACGCTTACGGAGGTCGACTATAACTATTGCTACTAAAAAAATATTAATAAAATATTATCAATAAATTACGACTTGTTAATGCCACCCCCTACGTAGCACTAGTTGGCCTTTACCCTTTCCGGAAACTCTATGAACTATGCCTACCCTAACTGCTAACTAATTAATCATATTAATTCACACTGTTTCTAAATACTTTTTTGTAGAATTTTTAAGCTTTTAGACTGGTTAGGGTTATATAGGGGGTGGCATTAAGAAAAGTGGTGTGGCATTATCAGTTCTCTAAATTAATCTGGATACGTAATTGCGTTAATTATAGCGATAATAAATAAGATCAATCTTAACGTTACACAAAATCAAAATTTTATTATATCATATCAGATATATACGTACGTACAATAGTTTTGATTTACTTAGCTGAACGTAACATGCACATTTTCACGTCAAAAATACATCATTTAGTCCATTGCATAAAATTAACAAATTTATTATTACTAAATTCTTAAAACAACTATATTGTCATTATTTTAAAAGAATATGAATTTTATAAAAAATTAAATAAATATATCTATCGACAACCATGTTTATTTCTACGTTCATTGCCATTACCATTACCATTTGGGCATTTTTATCCACTACCATTTTTGCCACTACCATTTTTGCCACTACCTTTATGGCCCCCACCATTATGACCACCACCATTTTTGCCGTCACCCTTTTGTCCGTCACCATTTTGGCCGTCATCATCTTAGCCGTCACCATTTTGGCCGTCACCATTTTGGCCACCATCTTTGTTGCCATCATTCGGAGCTCCATCATTTTGACCGTTTTGCTGCATTGGTTGCATTTGTTGCATCATTTGCATTGGCCGCATGGGGGTCATAGGCATCACCGCTGGTTGACAATAAAAGAAACAAGGCATAACACATCCGAAAGAATGAAATCTTGGAAAGAAGCATCGTTTATATAATTGATGATCATCCTTTGACATTGGAGTTGAATTGCTATCAATCGGACTCGGCAAAGGAGCGACAAGATTTGGTAAGATCGTGATAAGTGCAAATAAAGCGATAATAAGTTTTATTGAAGCGAGAGACATTTTGTTTATTTCTTGTAAAATATTTCTTTTCATAGATGAATCGAATTGAGAATGAGAATTTTTAGTGTCAATTTCATGACATTTTTATATATTTTTTCCCTCGTTAGTTTATAAATCAAACGAAAGGGTAAATGTATCATAGCGTAGCAAATGCGTTGAATTCTGTTAAATTATGTTTATTGATTGACACTTAGTTGCATTAATAATATAAAAAAGCTATTATTTTCTACAATCGCATATTATAAACATAGTATAATAAAGCTTTTGCGTGTGAGATAATCATAAGCGATATTTGATATATATTTTACTTTATCAATAATTACGTGAAGATTTAAATGTCAAACCCAATTTATGATTCTTTATAAATCAAATTACTAGCACTAGCGCTAGAGTATAACAAATAAATTAGTATATGTACTATGTTTTTAATGTATTTAAGGTCGATTGTCCGTTCATATGATGATCCGACCAAATCAATGAGAACTAAACATCAGATGTAAGAAATTCAAAATTCAAAAACAGTTTTTTGAAGAAATCGGAATTCTGTATCTCGAATTTTTGGCTTAATTAAGCACCTTTTGTTCTTTAATAAAATTTTCTTACATAATTTTACAATATAAATACAACACTTCAATTCAGCTGTGATTTAGATCAAATTTTGTAATCTCACGCTATCATAGTATACTATTTATGTGAACCGATTCTTGCAAGATTAAAATTCTGCACTATCATTTCATTCTTCTAGAGTTAAGGCAAGAATTAGGGTTTAGAATACAAAAAATTTAATTATAGTTAGTATAGCTTGGGCTAAAATTGCCAAATGACTTCCAGTTCTGAATCGGGTCGATTTTCATACAAAATACAGTTATTATCAACACATCAAATTTATAGCGCAATATATCCTATTTTATTAGCTTTTTTAACTTGGTGCCTTCATTTTTTGCAGCAATTTACTTAATATTTCTATTATAATATATGCTTAAATAGTTTTTTGCAAGTTTATTATCACTATATAAATATACTTAGTTACTTTATTTTGTATTAACTAGATCTTTCCCATTAAACTATCACGGAATTATACAAAAACTACATTATCAAGAATATGTTAAAAAGCAGTAATCACACTCAGAATTTGATCTTAGTCGCACCACAAAATCATCGTCCACGGACGAGACTATTTTAATGCCGGCTGAATTAAACGATTAGACAATTAGAGGAATTTAGGCGATTTCAATACCTAATGTAAAAAAAAATCCCACACGCTTAATTAAAATGTAAAAAAAAAACCAAAATTCTGAATGCAATCTTTAAAAAAACCAAGTCGATAGTCATCGATTGTCAGATTCTATTATTCTTAATGAATATATAAAATTGACTTGCTATGCGGAATAAACTTGCTTCCTCTACAAAATGTGCCTGCATATGATTTTTCGATATTTTCAAGTTTTAATATGGAATTATTCAATTCCAACAAAACGTTTCCGTCTTTTTGCCATTTCATAAAGTCTCGCAGAGCTTTTTGGCTGATGGTCGTTTTTTAAGTTCTTTATCCCAACATTCTTTCATCAAATTTACGTAACCTCTCTCTCTTGAGTAGCGTCCGCTAGTTGCAGAGGCAACTACTTCATGATTCGATTTTGGAACTTGTTTGCCAACGGGTGGTGTAAAATCATCATAACATATCTTTAATTGAAGATGCCGTTCACTGAGTTTATGATCATAAGATACTGGCATTCCGTATAAGACTTCCCACATTATCATTTCAAATGAATAAATATCCGATGTTATAGTATATGATTGACCAATTAGAACTTCTGGGGCAATATATGGCAGAATCCCAAAAATTCCATCTTTATTTTGTTTGGAATTAGAACTTGATAGTCCCAGATCAAAGATATACGCGCTACGTAAATCATCTTGTAAAATGTTTCCACTGTGTAAATCTCGATGAATATATCCTTGAGAATGAATAGCATCAAGGTTAGAGATAATATAATTTAATAGTTTTAATTCATCTATCCATTTTATTCGAGATACGTCTTGAAGGTTATCACGTAAAGAGCATATTTTAAGACAAGAATATATTCTTTGGTGTCAGGTCGTTGAGTTATACCGTGACATTTTAGAAATGAAGGATCTTCATATCCGATTTTACTATATGCTTTTAACTAATTAAATTAATTAGTCATGTAATCAAATTGAATTGAATGGTTGAAATAAAAATAAAATTACCTCTATAAATTCATCATAATTTGTTTTATGTAGTGATTTAAGGGCAATGCTTGACGTTATGAAAAAATAGTGTGACCAATTTGCACAATATACTGTTGAAAATCCTCCTTTACTTCTTTGATGTTCTTGAATTCATTGTATGGAATCCATAATAGCTGATGATATCTCTCATCGCTTAAATCTCTTTTAAATCATCATTAAAATTATTTAACGTAAATTTGTTTAGTCCCCTGTTTATATAAATTAGTAAACTTGTGTCAAATATAACAAATATAACATATTTATTTCAATGTCACTTACATTCTATACTAACGGTAAGCTAGTTGTAAATCTCTAGTTACTCCGGTTCCAAATAGATAGCATAAATATAAATTGCGTATTCCATCAGCATTACCCACCTTTGTGGATTTCATGTACCACTTTAACGCGTTATTTTCATCCTTTTCAACTCCAATTCCATTTCGATAACAATATCCAACATTATTTGTTCCCATATCATCCCCCATCTCTGCAGATTTTTGATAATAAATGAGTGCCTTATTTTCATTCTTTTCAATTCCATTTCGATAATAGTTACCAAGTGCAAATATTCTCCATCTCTGCAGATTTTTGATAATAAATGAGTGACTTATATTCATCTTTTTCAATTCCATTTCCATTATTATAACAATATCCAACTTGAAAAATTCCTTTATCGTTCCACCTCTGCAGATTTTTGATAATAAATGAACGCCTTATATTCATCCCTTTCAACTCCAATTCCATCTTGATAATATGTTCCATTGGAATTACCTATTTCTGTAGATTTTTGAAAATAAATAAATGCCTTATGCTCATCTTTTCAACCCAATTCCTTTTTATAACAATATCAGCGCTCCCCATCTCTGCAGATTTTTGATAATAAATGAATGCTTTATGTTCATCCTTTTCAACTCCAATTCTTTTTTTATAACAATATCCAACTTTATATGTTCCATTAGCGTTCCCCATCTCTGCAGATTTTTGATACTGAATGAATGCCTTCTGTTCATCCTTTCAACTCCAATTCCATATTGATAATTGTGGCAAGATCAAAGGGTCTAAATTAGTTGATTTTTTATGATGAACCGAATTATTATGATTAATTATAATGAGAAAAAACGGAAATCAGATCTTGCCATTTATACCTTATACTATCTGCTATGTTGTGTTCCGACTTTTTACTTATGGCGATAACGTTAATCGAAGACGGGGTAAAATCGCCACCCAAAAGTTTTGACAAATATATCGAGCACATTCATTTAATTTGAACAAAAATACAAACAAAAAAAATTCATAGAATATCAAAATAATATCGTTAAGATCAAACCAATTTAATTCACTTTTTTAAATCAATCCTCTTCTTTGCCTCCCTCTTTCTTAGTAAAAAAAACTTTAGATAATAGAATAGTGAGGCGAAATCATCTACTGTAAATTATATTTTCTTCTTTATGTACTTTACACTTACTTATATAACATTAAATTTATAGAATTTTATAATAGCAAGTACTTTTTTAATAACTTAAAATCGTTTTTTAGATTTGCCCTTCATTTACTAACTTTAATTTCAATTTGAGTAAAATGATCTTTTCCCGATTCTTTACATACTTTACAACATGGATAAACTTTTATATCTTTCTATTAATAAAGTTGGCAATGCAGATAAACCATCCATTTCTCCACACCAATAACAAAGTTGAATTTGATCACCTTTTGTACAAGCATAGTAGTTTGTTTTAATAGGTGATTACAAGTTATATGTTCTTGAACATAAGAAGAGTATTATAGATCGCTAATAAAAATGGAGTCGAAAATGTATTAATTTAGAATGGTAAAGTTTATTTCATAACATCTGATAATCGTCTTAATATGAAGTTGTATGTAATACTGGATTAGGTGGGACGATAGTTGATGTGGGTTAGTGAATGTATAATGTTATACACGCAATTCTGCCCAACGGTTTGCATTTATTTTATTCATTAGATTCGCAATTCAATATCCCTTGCAATTTCACCAGACTTCCACTCAAACATCCTTCTCTACTGACACACAACAGGTAGCACGGCTTAGTTTATTAGGCCACGCAAAGTTAATTTTTCGTTTTGTATTACATGGATTTCAAAATTCCCGGTCGGACGGATTTTTTTTTTTTTAATATACAGTGAATTAATGGGCTCATGTTCACATCTAAGGTCGTAAAAGGTTATTTTTCGCTTTTTATAACATGGAATCAGAAAATTGGGTTGGCAATTGAATTTTTTTTTTCTGTCAGTTCTATCGGATACTTTCGGGAAATAAGGTCACTGTCGGGTAATACCGGATTGATTTTTTGAAAAAGTTTAAATGGCAAAAATAGAATAATTGGCACAATTGGGGCTTAAAAAAAAAAAAAAAAAAAATCAAAATTTTGAAAAAAATGGGTCGGCGGGTAATGCAAAACGAAAAATCAACTTTGCGTGGCCTTAGGAACTGCTTATTTTACAAGAAAATCCCAAGGGTGGTTCGATAATACCGATCGAAACTAT